CCACCCACCCACCCATTCACCCATCCACCCTCTAGATAAGTATTCATGGAGCTCCTACTAAGTGCAAAGTACTGTACCAGATGTTGGGTCCCATAATTAAGCCATTGTCCTAGAAATAACCAACATAATCATCAGTAGAGAACTAGTTAAATAAATGATGGAGCATTATATATGGAACACTGTGCTGCTGTTAATAAGAATGAGCCAGGCCTACATGAACTAATATGGAATGACCTCCAGAAATATGGTTAGAGGAAAATAAAAAGAGGCAGGAATGTGTGTGGTATGCTACCATTTGCACATGAAAGAAAAAAAAAAAAGACGGCTTATTTAAACCCAGGTCTACTCAGAGACGCCTAGAAAATTTCTGGAAGGATACCAAGAAACTGGTACCAAAGATTGCCTCTGATGAGTGGCAAGGAAACATGTACCACTCTCTTCCATTGCAGGCTGCTTTTTTTTTTTTTTTTCTGTTTTACAGTGTGCATTTGTTACCTGTTTAAAATTAAAAACTTTTTTTTTAAATAAAAAAAATGTAGCAGTATAGAAAGACAAGAAACCATCAAATTGCAATGTGGGTGATGCGTCCATGACTGGGAAGGTACAGGCAACTGTGGGAGTGAGGAGGAGGGCACCTAACTCAGCCTGGGGCAATCAGGAAAGGCTTCCCAGAGGAGGTGATGCTTGAAACGAGGCTCCCAGGCTGAGTGGTGAAGGGAAGAAGGAAGGTGAAAACATTCCTGGCAGGAGAAACAGCATGAGCAAAGGCCTGAAGGCAAGGCTCAGAGTGGCTGGAGCAAAGGGACTGATGTCGGCAGAAAGCCTGGCATTTATTCTGTGGGCAATGGGGAGCCATGGACAGATTTAGAAGACCCCTCTGGCAGAGCAGTGAGGCTGGAGTCAGGGAGACCAATGAGGAGCCTGGGTGAGAGAGGAGGGAGGCCTGGACTAAGGCTGAGGTAGATGGGCAGAGAGGGAGGGAAGGCTTAAGAGCTCTCTAGGACAGGACCCTGCGGATCCATTACAACGATTTTAGCGAACACTGTTCCACAGTGCACACTGGTTCTCACCCATGGCTGTACCTCAGAGACTCCTGGGGAACTTTAAAGAGCAGCACCCTGGCCCTACTCCCAACCGATTTCACTGGCATCAGGGTTTAATTGGGCTCCCGGTGACTCTGACGCACCCAGGGTGAGAACCACGGGGCGAGGCAGTGAGTTGGCCAATGAGTGAGTTAGACTACGCCTGTGTTGGTTCGAGATCCCTGGTGGCACAAATGGCTTGCACTCAACTACTAACCTAAAGGTCGGTGCTCCAAATTCACCCTGCAGCACTGCGGAAGAAAGGCCTGGCAATCTACTTCCATAAAGATTACCGCCAAGAAAACCCTATGGAGCAGCTGCACTCTGTAACACACGGGAGTTAACTTGATGGCAACAGGTATGGTTGTTTCTGGTTTTTGTTGGCTCACCTTCTTCAGGTGAATGCTTCCGGTAGAGGTGAGCTGCTGATATGGGGTGGGAATGCTTTGCTTTTGCTAGAAGAAATCGAGGCAGGAAAACCACAGGGGATTGAGGTTACCCAGACCAGCTGTGAAGGCTTGAGAAAGTCAGTTGGCCTCTTGAGCCAGTTTCCTTGTTCAAAATAATGTCTACCTAGAAGCGTTGTTAGGAGAATTAATGGAATTATGAATGTAAGGAGCTTGGCACATAGCCAAGTGCTCAATAGGCCATTTTAATGTATATGTCAAGATTCTGAAGGGAGAGCTGACTTAGAGATGTGCTAAGACCCACCAAGGAGCCCTGGTGGCACAGTGGCTAAAGCACTTGGCTGCTAACCAAAAGGTTGGTGGTTCAAACCCACCAGCCGCTCTGTAGGAGATAGATGTGGTAGTCTGCTTCTGTAAAGATTACAGCCTAGGAAACCCTATGGGGCAGTTCTACTCTGTCCTATAAGGTCACTAAGAGTCGGAATCTACTCTATGGCAATGGGTTTGGTTTTGGTTTAAGACCCATCTGGACACTGCAAAAAATCCTGAGACTGGCCTTCCCTGAAGGCTGCACGCCGCCCTCGTGTGGTCGAAACTATATTTGTCTGGGAATAGTGGTGCCTTTAATGCAAAACTTAAAAAACCAGTATTCATTCCTTTCTAATTCTTTTAACTACAGAACCATGTTTTGAGATTCAGGCTAATCTGGTCATATTGCTCTGACTGTTTAAGAGCAGCTTCTGATGTGCAGAATTCCATTTCAGCTTTCAGAGGAATGTTAATGAGACAAAAACGTCGTTTTAAAAAGCACAAACGTGGTGGGGAACTGCAGTGTTGGCACTTGTAATAAAGAAGGGCAAGAGAAGCTTGGCCTAGGGGGACCATGAATTAACTAGCAGAACACGCTGCCCAGGACAACTTTACACGGCTCCACCCAGCGGCTCTAATTTGAGTCTTATAAATGCCTGGCTTTGTGGCCTTCTCCACAGGCCGCGGAGGGAATGACCTTTGAAGTTCTGTGCCCTTAGCCAGAGCCCAGAGTATCTTTTTTTGTTTGTTTGTTTTACAAAGGGTTATATTTAAGACAAGAGGCAGCCAGCTTACGCCTGGACCAGAAAACCACCGTCAGAAAAAAACAAACAACTTACTCTTGAAAAGCTGAAGATTTGAAACTGTGTTTGTGGATATTTTAATCTCTCATGTTTTCACTCAAAAACTGGGCATCCTTTCATGGGATTTCAGCTGGTGCATGACTGTACCCCCTCAGAATGGTACCCCTACTACTCAACATCGGGGGCAGGTAAGGGTAGGAGGGACAGTGATTAGAAGGTCTGTTACTCATCCCTGAGCCAGCGATGGATATTTAAAAAATATCGTTAGGTGTACTGCACAGCAAAAGATAGCTCAGAAAAGACTACTTAAATATCCCACTTGTGCAGCTCAAAACTGTGACAAAAGAAGTTTCTTCCCCAGGGTTTGGCTCACCTGCCACCATGCCAAACCACCCAGGAGAGGAGGACCTCAGAAGTGAGGGGCAAGGGGGTCACCTGCACAACCAAAGTCAGAATCCTGGGCCTAGAAACCTGCATTTTAAACTCACTCCCCAGGTGATCTTTACATATGTGGGCCACAGCTTTAGGATATCACCTCGACCTGGGTTTTTCAGGATTTCACAAACCAGTAACCTTACAGAAAACAAAAAACCTTCAGGATTCACTTTGAGTTGCTGGTTTATTATTTTGCAAAGAGCATCAACAAACGGAGGTGCGGTTCCTGCTAGCCTTGTTCATAAAGCACTGCAGGCATTTGGCTATAAAAACCTCTGTATGTGGTCTTTATTGCCCAATCTGCTCAGAAAGGTGCAAATGACATGGGGTACAGCATTTGGGAACCCCGAGGGGCTTTGGGCAGCACTTTGGGGTGAGTGAGGGATCCAAAAGACAAGGCTTACTAGAGGAAAACATCATCTTACACTCATTTATTACATTATATATATATATGCAGGTCTGTCTTATGTACAATAGTTGATTCTATCGAATAATCACACTGAAGGCACTCTCCTGGTAATCGTCCCGAAACAGATTCAGGTAAAGGAGATATTTATGCACTCCACGGACTATCGACCACTTGGGACATCATTACTGACTTCAGCTTTGAGGCCATACACACAATTCAAAATACACATTTCACTTGGTTAAGGCGGTACAAGTGGGCTGAAAGAAACCACGGGATTCAGAAAAATTAAACTGTATTTCACTTGCATCAGAGCCACAGGTGAACAGCAGATAGTGTGTGAGTCTCAAAGCTCTTTTATTGCAGTGTGAGCGGCTTCTGCACGTCTAAGGTGACGGCACAGCGGGTGGGGAACAGCTGGTGGGATCGGTGGGCGGCTCCACCAAGGGCTCATTTCTTCTCCGCCTCTCCCTTCTTGGGCTCTTGTTTCAGTTTGTAATCAGCCAGGGCGGCCTTGATTGCGTCCTCAGCCAGCACTGGAGGTAACGGAAGGAAACAGAGCACGTTTCTAGACACGGAGGACAGGGTCTCAGGAATAGAATCTTTAAGGGCTGGAGGACAGAGGTGCTGGGAGGGGCTAAACAGAGTCACCCAGCCAGGGTGCTGGGGGTGAGAAGCAAGCCGGCCAGCTGTTTCCTGAGCAAGGTTACCCCTGCGGGGGCGTTGGTGGGGGTCGAGTTCATTCACTTCAAGTGCTCAGAGCAAGGCCCTTGAAGGTGCTTGAGGAATGTGAGCTGTTAGCTATCAACTGTGAAGTGCAGTGCCCACCAATGAGAAAAGGGGGAACTTCCATTTCCAAACATTCTGGCTTCAGAGCCACAGACGGCAGTTAAAGTACCTGGGACTCCAGGCTAGTTCCTCAGCTTTGGAACCCACTTTGTCTCTCTGTAAAACTGGAGTAATCCTGCTTTTCTTGCTAGGATGTGAGGACTGAAAAGAGTCAACTTCTATCCAGTGTCTGACCCACAGCAGGAACATAATAAATGCTAGGTCTCTTTTGCTCATGTGACAGCCTATGTAGCGGATGCCGGTTGCACTAGTTGGTGCAACTTGGGCCAGGTCAATTTGCTAATGGGCTCGTGCCTGTCACATCACCCTCTAATGATCAACAGTTTGAAGATTTGAAGAGCTGATAATAAAAGGGAAGGCATGTCTACCATTACTGAACATTTTGATTAAAGAGTCTACAGAAGAATCCTGATCAAAAGGGGGAAAATGTAGAACAGAATTTAAAATTCTAAAGGACTTGAGACTTCCTGGAGCCATGGACGTTGGATGAAACCCTGAAACTATTGCCCTGAGGTAATCTTTAAACCTGAAACCAAAAATATCCCCTGAAGCCTTCTTCAAACCAAACAACAGTTAGCTTAGCTAGTAAAAAATGTCTGCCTGAGCATTATGCTTTTTAAAGAACTATCTATATGGGATCAAACTGACAACAGCAACTCAAAAGATTAGAATAGGAACCTTAGAGGGCAGTGAGTTTATGTTAATGGAGGAGGGACAACTCAGAAAAGAAGGGTGAGAATGGTTGCACAACTCAAAGAACGTAATCAATGTCACCGAAAGGTACAATAGAAACTGTTGATCTGGTGTATGTTTTGCTGTGTATGTTCTCAACAATAACAAAATAAAATAATTAAAAAAAAGAAAGTGAGGCCATGAGGGAAAAGTAAACATTTAGAGAGCTAAAATGACAGCAGAAAGTAGTTAAGCAGCAGAGAGCATTAGCTAAAGGCTCTAGTACTTAAAAACGCCTAATGGAAAGGCTGGAACTTTCCAGAAACATGTGAAAATGTTTACAAGCTATGACCTTTCTTCACAAGGACTTGCAATTCCAGCTCAAGTGGAAGGAACTTGCTCTTAGCAGGCTTCCTGAAGACTGCAAAGCTTGTCCCTACTCTAGCGCCCAGTTCTCCCATGAGTCTTAGCCTGGCAAGAGGCCTGGCTCTCTGTTGATTTTTAACTAATTTGGTCAGTAAACCTCTAGCAACATGTTAAGGGTAACGGTTCCCATTCCCTCTTTCCCTAAGAAGGTTAAGAGCGGATGGAAAAGGTATTAGACTTAACACACAGACCAAACTGGAAAGCCAGGCATTACGTCTGAAGGCACCTGGGCTTTCTCTAAAGGACGGGTGTAGAGGAGAATATTGCACAACTGGGCTTAGTCACTCCATGTACAAGGACAACCCTGATACTAGCAGCAACGAGACAGGAAGTGAGGGAACGCACAATCAACGGGATCATGGTCAAAGTTGAATTTTCTCCTCTGTTGGTCCTAACTTTGGTGCGATGGGATGGGAGCCACACAGACTCTGGGAGCTTTAATCCTGGTCTCCCACTTATGAGCTGTGTAATGAGGGCAACTTAACCCAAGCCCATTTCCTCATCTGTAAGAAGGGTGATGGTACCTACCTGGAGGGTGTTTCTGAGGTTGAGACAATGCACGTCAAGGGCTCAGTGGGACGCCCAGGCACACCACCTCATGGTCTCTTAGAAATCACTGTGAGATCATGGGGGACTGACCCTCCGAGAATCCTAAAGACAAACCCATGAGCTCTAACCCTCAGAGGATCATAAACTCACGAGCTTGGCTCTCCTGGTGCTACAAAGATGGAACTCATGACCGCAAAGGCTCACAAGTTCTCTTTACCCTGTTACCCTGCCACAAACACAAGTCGATGCCACTACAAAATGGCTCCTGACTGTCCCAGCCCCTCAGTGTTTTGCAGGGCAGAGACTTACTGGAGCAGTGCAGTTTCACGGGAGGCAGGCAGAGTTCCTTGGCGATATCTGTGTTTTTGATGGTCAAGGCTTCTTCAACCTAAGGGGCAGAGGGGAAGGATGAGCAGGTCCAGCAGTGCTTTAACTGGTGAGGGACAGATAATAACAAAGGAAGGCCAAAGACTGCGGCCGGGCAGGCTGTGCGGGGGGCTTCTGTTTAATAACTCAAAGAACCAAGGACCTTCTCAGGACTCCCATGTGGGCATCAAAACTGCAGCTGGATTCTCCAGTGTGAAGTATACCCATCTGCACTGCTTGGCCAGGTTCGCAAGGGAGGCAAAGACACACCTTACAAGCCAGGAGTGGAACCTGTGAGAAGTATCAGGAAGCTGCCTGAGGCCAGCAACAAGAGTCCTTTAAAAACGCAGTCATTTCCTGTGTTAGTTTTGTGAATCTGAGCCTCTCTAACGTCTTTACATAAAAGTACAGAATAAATTCCTAAGTAAACAAACAATTAGCAGGGTTGAACGGCCTCAGGAGAGGTTGGGGACATGTAAAATAAGCCAATGGCCGTCCAGCACTG